GGGGCAGGCGTAGAGACACAGCCTTGTTGCTCCCCTGCATTCACTCTTTCCAAATCCCCAACTTTGGAAAACTGAGGCATAGCTGGGGATTGGAGGAGCAGAAAGAATGTGGGTACAGGCCGACATCCTGAAGTGAACTCTACATCCCCTGAGCTGAGGAGGAGGGGATGGCCATATCCAGGAGATGGGCTTTCTGTTCATCAAGGATTTCCAAGGGAGGGAAAAGGATCTCTCCCTACCCCACCCCTACACACCCAACCACCTTTTTTGTTTGTAAGGAAATGGGGGAGCACCCGCCGACCTCATAGCAGCTCTAGTTTCTGTAGTACAATTCTAAGGCTGCAGAGAGAGATCCACAGACCAGAAAATCCAACCTGGGGGCATTCCAAGCGGTTGAGAAGGGCTGTTAATCGCAAGATCAGCAGTTTGAACCCACCAACCGCTGCTTAGGAGAAAGAGGAGGCTTTCTGCAGTCATAAAGATTTACTGTCTCAGAGACCCAGAGGGGCAGTTCTCCCCAGTCATATAGACAGAAATAAGTTGAGGCTTTCTACTGTCATAAAAGATGTACTGTCTCAGAGACCCAGAGGGGCAGTTGTACCCAGTCCCATAAGTCGGAAATTGACTCAATGGCAGTGAGTAACATGGGGAGGGATAAACAGTCACACCCTGTCCCTGAAGTAGCTTTTCTACTTGGGGTCAAGGAGCTCTCTCCAAGATAATCTAAGAGCACGTTTACCCAGCCTTCTGGCTCCATGGATTTTCTTAAACCTCCGCAGAGCCCTCACACACCAGGTCCCCCCCAGTCTTAACCAAACAGAGGGCAGGAAGATGGCTCGGGTGGTATTTTCCTAGGCACTGCCCCACGGCTTGTGGGAAACTCCATGTCCTGGCCACAGCCCCCACCCTCTTGTTTGTCTGTCTCTCTGTCTTCCTCTCCAGTCTTCCTTGACCCCCTGCCTCCTCTCGCCACTCTCCTTTCCCATCTCTGGGCCTGTGGGGGTGGCAAGCTTAGTGGTCAGACACATCTGCTGGGCATGGCCAGACTGGTGGACGGAGGCTGCAGTTATGACAAAGGGGGGCTGGGAGCGGAAGGTAGCTGGGCGGAAGTGGTGAGGGTCCCAGGCCAGACTGGGGAAGGCTAGTTCCTCTCCCCACCCCCGCTGGGGCCTGGCAGGCTCACTGCATGGCAGCAGCCAGGGCTGTTATTTCTGGAGAGAAGCCCATCTGGCACATACCCTGCCTGGGCCTCTAGCCAGCACCCACACTCCTTCAGAGCCGTCCCCTCCTGCTCCCTGCTTGCCCCCCTTTGCCTGGCAGAGGTGGTTGCTAGGTGTCAAGGCCCTCTGCTGGACAGTCCCAGAGTTTTACTAGCCAGGCCATCAATCCTCCTCATCTCTGTCCAGTCTGTGACTCTTGACGTTCCTGGGCTGGGGCGGGAAGGGCTGGCCCAGCTGTATTCCCCCACCCATGCACCCTATTTGGGGTTGTGGTTTGCCCCAGTTGTTCCTCTCCCCTTTCCAGGCCCCAAGCTTGCTCACCACCCCACATATAGTTCCATCTCTCCAGGCCTGTGTCTTCTCAGCTGTCAAAACCGGCCATCTGTGTTTGCTGGAAGCCTGTTTGCTCAGTCTAGTCCCAGGCACACGTCTCACATGTGTCTATATTCCCGTATGTGGGTCATTGTCCCTCCATGGCCTAATGGCAGGGCTGAGACTAGGCACCAGTCTGAAGTACATCTAAGGAGGTGACAAAAAAAAAAATCTCACTAAACGAGATAAAGATTTAAAAATTATTAAAATAATTTTAAAAAGGAAAAATATAAAAATAAAATATATAAAGATAGGGGAAAGGTCAGTGCTAAAAAAAGATATTGTAATCAAATATATTTTAAAAGTCAAAGTTAATGGGGGGGAAAATCCACGATGAACAAAATATCTGTTTTAAATAAAGGCGCGATTTTGACCTCCCTGAGTCAGACGCAGTCCTTGCCCTGGTGGTGTAGTGTTAAACATTGGGCTGCCAACCACAAGGTCAGTAGTTCGAAACCAAAGGCTGATCAATGAGAGAAAGAAGGGTCTTTCTACTCCTGGAAAGAGTTAAGTCTCATAAACCCACAGAAGCAGTTCTACCCTGTCCTATTGGGTCACTATGAGCTGGAACCCACTCGATGGCAGTGAGTTTGGGTTTCAGCCTAGGAGCCCTGGTGGCCCCGTAACCCATCAGCAGAGAGTGGGGGTAGGCAAGACAAGGCCTAGCAATCGCTCGCGTAAAGATTTACAGCCTATCTGTCCACCGTCAGCACACAACAAGTCCTGGCTCGGGAGTCCCTCTGTGCCAAAAAATGGTGGCAGTTTGAAATGCCGCTGCAGAAGACAGGCGTGGTGCTCTGCCGCCTTCAAAACCATCCAGTGATGCACGTCCGCTCTGCACAGGCGGGAGGCCGTGAGTCACAACAGACTCTGTGACAACTGACTTCAGCAGTTCCAGCCTTGGCTTCGGGCTACGTTCAGGAGGATGGGTACAAAGTCAGGGTTCATGCCTGCTTTCCTCTGTTTCCTGGGTCTGACAGTGGTCAGTTTCTCCTATCTCTGACCCTCAGCGTTGGCAAGCGCTCTAACCTGGTGGGCATCTGTCTGTAGCTGGGTGGAGGAAAGGCCGTCCTTAAGAAAAAGAAACGAAACTTATTGTCATCCCTCTAGGACCAGGTCAGGTAGAAGAGTCCCGTACAGGGCAGGGCAGACTTACCCCCTATTAAAATGAAATAAAGAACTGACCCATCATGGCACCTATTTCCCCTGCAGAGTCGGGGTTCGTGGGTTAGAAAGGACGGCTTTTCAATGACCTACCAAAGTCTTCATTTAACTACCAAACTTCCCAACGGATCTCCTCCAGAAACCGTGGCTGTCGACTCAACTGCTACTCTGGGCCTCCGTTGGTTCCCAGATCCCAACGTCTGCCAGCTGCGGCGCGTGAGAACCGCGCAGGCCCCGCCCCCGCCCGCGCCCCCACCTCGGCTCCCCGCGCACCTGCTGAGACTTGGGGAGGGCGTCTGCAATTAGGGGGACAGCCCTCGGGGCTAGGGCTGCGGCGGGCAGTCCGGAGCCCCGCCTCGCTGCGGGCCTCCGCCTGGGAGCGAGAGCGGACAGCAGAGGGAGGCGGGCGGGCGGGGCCCGCAGGGAACAGTTGGGGACGTCCTTTCCTCCGCCCAGTGCCTCCGCCTTCCAGGGAGTCGAGCACGTGCACTGGAGTGTGCATGCGTGCATGTGTGTGTGTGTGTGTGTGTGTATGTGTGTAAAAGCAGAAGATGCTGAGTGGGGAGGCAGGGCCTGACCTCCTTTCCCTCTCCCCAACCCCATACCTTTGGTGTGTGTGTGTGTGTGTGTGTGTGTGTGTGTGTGTGTGTGTTTACCAGGCATCCCAAAGGGGCCTGCTGTTTTCCTCACTAATCCTTTGAATCTGAAGCCCAAAACTCACCCTGGAAGCAAGGAGGATGGTGGCCTAGCACATAACAACAAGCAATTTTCCGAGCTTGGCATGCAAATTCTACCTATGTCCAACGGCTCTTCTTTGGCCCCCTCAGGGCCCTCCTTGGGGAAGGAGAAATGAGGAGGGGCTTTTCCTCCTCCGCTGAAACCCCCTCCCCTGGGGTGGGCGTTTCCTCAGTAAGTAGCCCCTGGACTCCCTTGACAGATACACCTTGCCCTGTCCATCACCTCTTTCCATCTTCCTTCTGAGAAGAGTCCCCAGGCTCCCTGGGACACTTTCCTCGCTCCTCAGAACTGGCCACCAACCTTACTGCAAGAGAGAGCGGCCCAGGGCTGGATCAGGGCGTGAGAGACTGACTGAAGTTCGGCCCTCAAGTCTTTTTCCTGTGGAGAGGCTGGTGGCTTGGAAGTTAGCAGTTAGCCCAGCGTGTAAGACAGCTGTTCTCAACCTTCCTCATGCAGCAACCCTTTTATACAGTTCCTCATGCAGTGGTGCCCCCCCCACCCCAACCCCAACCACATTATTTTCGTTGCTACTTCATCACTGTCATTTTACTACTGTTATGAATCAGGTGACCCCTGTGAAAGGGTCTTTCGACCCCCAAAGGAGTCAAGACCCACAGGTTGAGAACCGCTGGTGTAATACCTGATACACCAAGCCAGGTGTCAGAGACTGGATTTTTTGGGGGGAGGGCAGTCTACCTCATAGCACTTGGTGGGTTTTCATTAACAGTCTAATGTTTAACACCACCGGGACTCTTAACAGAAGTTCCAAAAATCCAATCGCACTGCCATCTGGTTCGTGAGACAGGAGAGCTGGCCCTGTGGGACTCCGGGAGCAGACAGCTTTACCTTCCTCCCACTGAGCCCCTGGTGGTTTGGAACGGCAGACCTTGCAGTTAGCGGCTCCACACGCAAACCCATGACCAACTGAAGTTGGAAACAAGGTAAAACTTCCGGGCATGGAGGCGACAGTGGAGTACGTAGTCCTCTGCCTGCACCGCCAGCCAGGTTTGACTGTTTTATGGCTGTAGTACAACTACAGGAGTTTGGGGACCAGACTTTGAAGGCAAGATTCAGAGCAACAAATATTTATTGAACGCTTGCTGCATGCTGGGCTTTGGGGCAGGTGACCCTCCCTAATGGACCCAAGGTCTTAATATTTACCTCCAAGCTTGATACCCCGAGCTTGGCAGGCAGAGACAGTCTTGCCTCTCAGCGAAATTGGCAGGCATTCCCCCTGGATTCAGCGCGGCCCCTCGCTGGACCTGACCGTCCTCATTTGCCTGGGAAGTTGGCTGCCCTTCCCGCCGAGGTGGTTAGAAGTGGTCTTCGGAGAAACTGTGGGGCTGGAGGCAACGGTCCGGGCGGGTGGGTGTCCTTCCAGAAGATCTTTCTGCTGGGGGTGGGTGGTAGGGAGAGGGTCCCAGGTCCTGGTCAGGCCCTTCTGATGCTCATTCCCCCATTGTGTCTCCTGACGGACAGGTGCCAGGACTGTTCAACCCCAAAAGAAAGCATTTCGCTGGACACAGCCACGGCCAGGACTCGGGGTCTCACTTTCGCGGGGCTAGTCTCTCCCTTTTCTCTGAGCGGGCCACTGCGGAGGCCTCTCCAGCGTCGGGTGGGTGTCTCTGGCTGAGGACAAAGAGCAGACAGCCCAGCAGAGCTTCTCGAACGTCCTGGGAGCCCAGGCGTCGGGCGAGGCGGCGCAGCAGGGGCAAGAGATGCTGGCGGGCCAGGCGGGCAGCGGGCAGCAGCAGGCGGGACAGCAGCGCCCGCAGCAGCACCGAGAGCAGCGGGGCAGGCATGGCCGGGATGGCGATGGCAGAGGCAACCCGGGCTCCAGACTGGCACCTGTCCTGCTCCTCCCTCACCTGGCAAAGACAGGAGCAGGGCAAGATCCACTTCCACCCGCACCCCAGTCCACCCCTTTATATGCCTTTTTGCTTTCTGGAATTCCATTCTCTTGCCAGGGTAGCTTCCAAGAGGGTTCTCACCACTGTCCGAGGGGGAGACTGAACCAGGGAACAGTCAAGCTGGAGGCAGAACCTACCCAGTCCCCCTGGACTCCCACCTCCTCTCTCTTCCTACACTCCCTCTGTGCCCTTCAATCCCAAAGGCACCCTCCCCCCAACTCTGCCAATTCTAAATTCTCTGTTGAAGGGCCTGGACTCACCTGACCAGTCAGCCTCCCTCCCTTCCCCTTCCCGTTGCTGCTCAGGGGCAGCTCTCACCGGTTACAACTGCCACTCAGTCTCTGGCTGGATTTGCCTGGGAAGGGGACAGCTTCACAGCATGCCCCACAAACTGCCCCGCCCATGGCAGTTGGCTGGAGTGGGGGCATGGGTGGATGCGAGGCAGCTGTGTGCCGGCACCTGGTCTATTGTGGGGAGAAGTCAGCTGGGCTGGCTCCTTCTTCTATGGTGGGAGGAGGGGACAAGAGGGAACAGATGCCAGAACTTCGGTCCCTGGTGTGGATCACAGATAGGAACCTACAGCATGTTCTGGTTGTAAGGCTTTGAGTCCAGTGCCCTCCAGACCGCGCTGGGATGAGTAAATAGAATGGGGCAATCAATGTACAGCATACATGTCCAACTCTGCAAGCCTGTGGCCCAGACCCACATCTCAAGACCGGAGTGGGGACTAGGCCCCAGGCAGCTCTTGTGGGCCTGCTCCTGGAGGTAAGAGTGGAAGCACAAGCCCTCTCAGAGCTGGGCACAGGTGGGCATAGCTGGGCAGCTCAGCCAATTGTGGATAAGAAGAAAAATGCCCACTTTAGGACTCTCATCTCCACCTACCTTTTTTTTCTCCCCCTCCTTCTTCCCCAGATTAAATGAGCTATAGAGACTGTGTTTCTTAAGGTTTCATTTTTGCACTTCATTAAATGGGTATAATCCCTGCCTTGCTAGGCTCAGATGGGAGGATCCCTGGTGGTGTAGTAGGTTATGTGTTGGGCTGTATACCACAGGTAAGCAGTTTGAAACCACTAGCCACTCCTTGAAAGAAAAACGAGGCTTTCAAAAATGAGACTTTCAACTCTCAGAAAGACTTACAGTCTCAGAAACTCATGGGGCAATTAGTTCCACTCTGGGTCACTATGACTTAGAAGAGTCTTGATAGCAGCGACTTTGTTGGGGGGCGGGGGGGCAGTTGAGCCTCAGATGAGCTGATGATCTTTTGGAAACCATAAAGCTTAGGGAATATGGCAATTTCCCAGCCTCCCCATCCCATCCGCCATCAGTATCATTTCAAAACCTCAAAGACCTTAAAGATAGAAAACTTACAAAGTCAAAAGACCCGACCTACTTCTGCTCGGAAAGACACAAAGGCGAGAAGCTGGAGAGTAGATTTGCAGGTGATTCTTCCTTCCAAGTGCTTCCTACGGGAGAAAGACGGGCTTTCTACTCCATAAAGCGCTACAGTCTCAGAAACCCACAGGGGCAGTTCTACCCTGTCCTGCAGGGTCCCTATGAGTCGGCATGGACTCAACTTTGGCAGTGAATTTGTTTAGTTGCTTCCTCAGGCGGTGGGACAGCCATGTGCTGCCCCGGGCTCCAAGAGTGGACGTGTATTGTGTATTGCTCTGTGCCACCCCTCTGAGCTCACTCAGTTCTCAGACCTGCCTTGCAGGGGAACAGTTATTGTGATCTTTGTGCAATTGAGGAAGCAGCAGTTAAAGGAGGTTAAGCAACTCCTTCAGGGTCACACTGTAGGTAAATGGCTGCAGACCTGCCTCACCTCAGGGCTCCCTGGCTCTGAACAGGTTCCTGCATCTCTCTCGGTGTTGTTGATGGATGCCTTCAAGTTGGCTCCATTCCCAGTGGCCACACACTGCAGAATGGCACACTGCCTGGTCCTCCACCATCCCCCCAGCTGGTGCTTTGCTGGAACGTGGTGTGGCACTCCACCGGTCTATCTTGCTGAGCATCTTCCTGCTTGTTGTTGGTTGTTTGTTTGTTTTTTTGGCTGATCTTCTATTTCTCCCAGCTTGATGTTTATTGTTCTGTAGGACTGGCCCCACCTGATAACATGTCCAAAGTACAAGAGACAAAGTCCCATCATATTCACTTCCAGGGAACATTCCAGCTATATTTCTTCCAGACAGATTGGTTTGTCTTTCTGGCGGTCCATGGATATGGAATATACTTACTGAATATGCATACAGTTACATATGATTGAATTGTACATATGGAATGCACTTCAATGGTCTTTGCTCGCACCTTAATTCAAATGCAACGGTTCGTTCTCAGGTTTCCTAATCCATTGTCCAGTTTTCATGAGCATATGAGGTGATCGGAAATACCATGGCTTGAGCCAGGTGCACTTTAGGGCAGAGGTCCTCAAACTTTTTAAACGGGGCCAGTTCACTGTCCCTCAGACCGTTGGAGGGCTGGACTATAGTTTAAAAAAAACTATGAACA